CTAAGGTAACAGTGACTCACAGAACCCCACCAATAGGAAACTCTCACCAAAATGACATAATTTAATTCCTACCAGTCACTTTGGAAAATATGTACCAGTTTTCTAAATTAATCGCATTACATCCCAAGTCTTTGGTCAGTTCCAGTGAGTGATACTACCTATAAAAAGCTAAGAAATATATTCAAATAATGCAAATACTTACAAGTTATTAAAACTATGAGCTATCTTTAGAGATATGATATCTCTTTATTACTATGAATACTAATCAGTTAATACTGCTTTCTAAGAAAGTTGAACACATAGATAATGGAGCAGTTGTTGAAATGACAGTTCTTTGCAGTGCAAACAAATGTAGCACCATCATTAAAAAAGAACAAGGACATTTGCTTTTTCTTAATAAACAAAAATTTATACATCCATGCTATAAAATATGAGGATGAAATTCACTACACCTCTAGTTTGCTATACATGGCCATGGATAACATGTAAACACACATACACACACACGTGGAAAGCCTGTCAGTGACAAAACTCTGTAAAGAATGAATCCTAATACAAAGCCACAACTGACTTTGTAATACAACATGGTTGGTTTTATGTGGTAGGATGAGACTGGCTGTGATTTTTGTAGTAGATAAAAATCACTTTGAAATTTAAAAATTTACCTTGTTGATAAGTACATGTTTCAGCAAGTGCAGTCTTGGAGTGATCTGAAGGCTTTAAAATACAGCCTTGAAACCAAAGGGCCAGCCGGTGAGGACAGATGTCCACCGCTCATGCTTGCTATTTATCTTCCTCTAGCTGCTGCACTGTGGGTCTGACAAGAAACTGCTGGAGAAGTAATAATGGCCAGTTCCTCTGGGACCTTTCTAAGAAAAGTAGGATTTAGCAGCTGTTGGTAAACAGAACTGTATTCTTTCCTTTCCTTTATATTCTGTTTCAAAGAACTAGAAATTAAGACTTTCCACAAGAAGAAAGAATTCTTAAATTTTGCTTTGTAAAGAGAAAATATGCTAATGAAGTTATGAACTGTTTTAGAGCCAAATAAAGCTAAAACATTGGATCAAATCCTATCATAGTTCTGAATTTATAGTAAAAATTTGATAGCAATTTGCTGATTAGGACTAGATTATCTGTATCAATGATCCTGGTGAAACGTGTCCAGGTCTGTAGGCTTCAGAGAAAACCTTCCCCAGGTGGAGGGACCATATCAATTGGTGTGTATAGCACCAGTCACGGTGGTGTTATACTTCTTGCCAGTAATTGATCAGACATGGGTATGCATGTGATAGGATTCTTCTAGCCAATGAATCAAATAGGGTAACCTGCTGAAAATTCCTGGAAGAGACTCCCTTGGGAGGAAAGAGCTTTTCATACTCTAGAAATGATGGTATGTGAGTGTGATGTCCAGAGAGAATGTGATTGCCATGAGAGAACATGATTGAACACAATGGATGACCTATTACATATACCAGAAAAGCAAGGACAGAAAAGAACTGATTCTTTGGTATCATTACTGAGTAGGCTAATTGCTGTTTGTGGATGTATACGAAGTATATTTAGTGTTGTGGTGTTTTGAATAGAGTTTTCTAGTTTACATAAGATAGTAAGATTTGTTACATAAAAATGTGGGTTGTACAATTAAATCTGAATTTTAGATAGATGTTGAATAATGTTTTAGTTTATGAATCTCTAATATGATATTTATCCTATACAATATTCAGGACATGATATACCAAAAATAATTTATTGTTATTTAAAATTTAAACCTAACTAGAAGTCATGCATTTTATTCAGCAACTCTAAACTTGACAATCAAATGAAATCTAGTAAACTCAATAATGAAAAAAAAATTCTCATTAAGTGATTTAAACTGGACTCAAACTTGGGATCCTCCTATCTCAGCCGCCCAGATTACTGGGATTACAGGTACCTGCCATCACAACCGGCTGAGTACGTGAATTAGAAATCTGACTTCTTATTCCTGAGACCCAGTAAGAATTGCCAGAATATTTTTTCATGAAGGAATCCCCATCTAGATGTTAAATGTTGCTGTAATACAGATTAACAGTGGCAAGAATTAAACAGATCTTAGTTAGAAACAGGACTTCTTTACTTACTACTTTTGTGGGCCTAGAGAAATCAGCTGAGTCTCAATGTTTCACTACATGGTCTAAAGAATTAATAAGTTTCACTCTAAAGAGCAGCTATCACGTTAGGTACAGAAAGCTTATTTGAAACCTATCAGTTCTGTTTCCTCTCACGATTGCAAAGAACTTAGATTTACCTAGATGGGGGTTTGTGCTAATCAAACACATTCACTTATGTATCCAAACTCCTTTGCCCTCACACCACAGACAAAATGAGTGCAATAAGGTGTGTACAAATGAGGTGACGCATGGAGGGAGAAGCTTGCTCTATTACCTTACCAAATACTTGAGTTTTACCATTGATGACAAAGAGACTACTCTAAATGTTTATCCTATTATTATTACCTTTTATTAGCCTATTATTATCTTATTATCATTAGATGAGCAGAATAAAAACCTAGTCATGCCTTTTCTCAGACGGCAGGGACTTCTCTCATTTTTAGCATCCTCAACATGAGAGGCAGTAAGTGCCTCTACACAAATAGTGAAACACAGATCGCCTTAAGATGTTTTCCAGTCTTGTGGGCAAAGAACAAATCATAGAGTCTTTTTAAAGCTTCATACAGCATTCAAATTGTTACTATGCTAATACTGAAAACTTTCAACCCTTACAAAAAGCAGTTCTCACAGAGAAAAATACAGAGCCTACAGAATGACAGCTGTGGTGCCAAGTTTTATGATCCTGTAACAGGGAAGAATTGGAGAGGGAGGGAACTGCAGCTGCCCTAGAGTAGCTGCAGAGCTGTCACATGGGAGAGAGGTTTGTTCAGGCTGTGAGGGCAAAGAGCAGAGTTACAGTGGAGAAACAAAAGTGAAAGGGAAGCACGGGTGAGTACAAACCTTCAATACTGGCTGGCAAGATAGCTCAGCGGTCTAAAGTGCCTGCTTAGGCAAGTGCTCAGGGACCATGGTTTGATCCCCAGCACCTCATACCATGCCAGTCTTGCCCCCAGGGTGGGCTGAGCCAGCCACAAAAAAACCAAACCAAACCAACCAACAAACAAAAACCCCTTCAATATTGCTCCATATCACCATGTCACTAACATGGTAGGGTCTTAACTATTTGCTGATTTGCAAACTGATGACTATTATTGGGAATATTAGAGCAGTAATTACAGCTCAGTTTTCTTCCTAACTTGCAAAGTGGGAATAGGAATTATAATTTATCATTTCCTGAGTGAAAGAACTGACCCAACTAAATCTGAAGACCCTCTCTAACTAATGTTCAGGCATCTGTAAAGTACAAGTTGTAGTGGATTTTCAGACTGCTGGAGACTGGAAATACCTTGGGAGTTTGAAAACTCTGTATGCTGACAGAACCTATAAAGATTATGGTTTAAGTGGTAAAGGGTCACTAGAACCTTCCAGTTTTTTTTTTTTTTTTCCAATGCTCTCCAGATTCTGATATACAGAATTCTGAGAACCACTGAAATAGTCTATGGTTTCTAGACTGCTGTATGGACTTTGTCATGATTGGCAATGTAATGTGAAACAACTGCTTTAACTTCTCTAGGTTCCATATTCTTTATCTATGAGGAAGAGATGGGCAAATATACCCTAATCACTTGCTGTGAAATTCCTTTATTCAAGGGCACCTGAACCTAAAAGGTTTATGTGTTAGGGAAGAAGGACTTACTCACCTCCCAGAGAGAGAAGAGGGCTCTATTCTGAGACTGAGAATCTTTTTCTGTTTCAGTGGCAGCAGTCAAATCCTCACAGTGTAGGGTCACTCACAGAAGGTGATTTATTCACAGGCCCACGCCCTAACATGAGCACAAACCAATGGATGAAAAGGACTTTTGTCTTGCTTTTGTCCATTACTCCAACTGTACTGTTAGCACAGTGGGAGTCACCTGATGTGTGATGATATATTTCTTGATGTTTTGGACATGGCTATACCTCATTATGGTCTTCTGGGCTTACCACGTCACATACTGCACTTAGTGATTGCTAAGTTATCTTCCTAGCCTGACCCTGGCCATCCATTTTGTCTGTTGGTTTTCACTTTAGTTTTACATGAATGAGACTGTGTATCTCATTGTCACTATGGACATACAGCAACTGACACTAGTCAGATAATGAGGGACATAGAGTTATAATATTCTATATTTTCCTGCAAGATAATGAGCAGCTTGTATTCCTTTTTGGCTAGCTCAGCCCACCTTGAGGGCAGGGCTGGAGTAGCATGTGGTGGCTGGGATTGAACCAGGGTCCCCTGCACCTGTCTAAGCTTGCCTAAGCAGGCACTTTAGACTGCTGAGCTATCTTGTCGGCTCCAACAGCTTGTATTCCAACCAATTCATATTGGTCAGTAAGGTTTTATTTGTCACACAATATGCACAGATGCTTATAAAAATGCATGCTATTTTGAGGTATTAAGACAAAATTTTATGTGTCAAATATGATCCAGTGATTTTTGGAAATGTCGATTTCTTGTGAAGGAGTTAACAATGTTCTTTCTGTTTATTCTGTATGCTAGACTGGACATATTTACTCTGATGTTCCTGTAAGTGCCCTTAGCGCAGTATGGATGAGGGATTTTTTTTTTTTTTTTAACATCAGGAATTTGCAACAAATCAATAAGAGGGCTCATAGGGCACCACGCTAATGACAAATCACAGGAGGTGGCTCCATAAAGGCTGTGGAAACTAGTTTCTCATTGCAGGAATTGGGTTGGGCCACCCATTTACCCCCCTTCTCAAACACAAATATTTTCATATAATAAAAGCCTGTTTCCCTATGCTTATTACCCAGCCTCCACTTCCCCAATTCCACCACTTTCCAGGGGGTTAGTGGGCGGACTTCTCCAAAGTTTGTAGGATTTTTCCCTCTCTGAACCTTTCTTGTAAAAGTGAGGGGTCCCTTGGGGTGAGAGGGACAAGAAACACCCACTAGGACCCAACCCAGCGGCCGGCGGCCGAGCATGCGCTGAGAGTTTATGCAGCTGGCCCTGGCGGCCGCTGCTGCCTCGTCCGGGACTCGGCGAGGACTTGGGAGGGACAGCGGCGCCGGGAGGTGGCTTAGCAGAGACTTTCCAGCAACTGCTGTCCCGAACTTTTTTTTTCTTTTTCCCAGGAGGCGGCGACGGCGGCGGGGCGGTAGGGGGAGGAAGAGAAGGAAGCGTCCACAGCTTACGCCAGTGCAGCCCCGCGCCTCTGCAGGAGCGGCGCGGTGCCCGATGAGTCCCAGCCGTGCGTCCGCGAGGGTTCCCCGGCGGGAGCGGGGTGCGGAGCCGAGCGCCGACGGTGAGTGGCCGCGCGTCCCGCGTCTCCAGCCCCTGCCCGCAGCCCGCCGCGGCCG